TCTGAGCTAGGCAGATGCATTCTTTTTCCTCCTGCCTTCTTTGCCCCATTCTGTAAGAGGTTCCCCAAAGCTGTAACTTCTCTTGCTGAGTCTAAGTAGGTGTTTGCTGGGCTGYGCCTTCTCTGACTCATTTCCAGCTAGTCTGCAAAAGTCACAGGTGATATTTTTGTAATAAAGCTTCCRCATTACTGGTGTAATATTACTGATGTTGTTTGGGTCTTGTGTCTTAGAGGACTCCAAGTCATACCTGAGGGGATAATRGAGGGAGGATGTGGCCAAACTCTTCTCGATGGTGTCCAGTGATAGGACGAGGGATAATGGGTACAAGTTGAAACACAGCAAGTTCCATCTTCATGTGAGGAAGAACTTCTTTCCTGTCAGGGCGACAGAGCCCTGAAACAGGCTGCCCAGGAAGGCTGTGGAGTCTTTTTCTCTGGAGCTAGATTCTGTCCTGTGCCACATGCTCTAGGTGCCCCTGCTGAAGCAGGGGGGTTGGACTAGGTGATCTCTGGAGGTCCCTTCTGATGTCAACCACTCTGTGATTCTGTGAAATCTGATGCAGTGTCCAAAAAGAGAGACCAGAAGTGGTCTATAACCTGCCTGTGTTAACCACCTGCTTCCTTGTCTCCGTTGAAGCTCTTTGGGGAGCAGCAAGTAAACATCTGTGAAAATGGTCTTTATCTGTATATAGAAATTCAGGTTAACAACATTATTCTCATACTTGCATTGAAAAAGATTGGCTTCCTGTGATGTGTATAGAATCATAGAATCCTTAAGGTTGGAAGGGGCCTTTAGAGATCATCTGGTCCAACTGCCCTGCACAGGCAGGGTCACCTAGAGCGTGTGGCACAGGGCTGCATCCAAGCGGGGTTTGAAGATCTCTAGAGAAGGAGACTCCACAACCTCCCTGGGCAGCCTGTKCCAGGGCTCTGTCACCCTCTCTGTTATGAAATTTTTCCTTAAGTTCCTGTGGAACTTTTGGTGCCTCAGCTTGTGTCTGTTTCCTCTAGCCTAGCCCTTTCAGCCACCACTGAAAAGAGGCCGCCCCCTCCTCCTCACTGCCTCCCTTGAGGTATTTATACACGCTGATCAGGTCCCCCCTCAGTGTCTGGGGACTGTCTGTCCCCCGCTTCAGGCTGAACAGGCCCAGCTCCCTCAGSCTTTSCTCATAGGGCAGATGTTCCAGGCCGCTGATCATCCTCGTAGCCCTGTGCTGGACTCTCTCCAGCAGATCCACCTCCCTCTTGTCCTGGGGAGCCCAGACCTGGACACAGTCTTCAGATGTGGCTTTACCAGAGCTGTGTAGAGGGGAATGATCACCTCCCTTGACCTGCTGGAGACGCTCTTCTTAATGCACCCCAGGATCCCATTGGCCTTCTTGGCCACCAGGGCACACTGCTGCCTCATGGTCAACTTGTCATCCACCATGACGCCCAGGTCCCTCTCTGTGGGGCTGCTCTCCAGCTGGTCCACCCCTAATCTGTACTGGTGTCTGGGGTTATTCCTCCCCAAGTGCAGGACCCTGCACTTGCCCTTGTTGAACTTCATGAGGTTTCTCACCACCCAATTGTCCTGTCTGTCCAGGTCCCTCTGGATGGCARCTCAGCCCTCTGGGGTATCAGCTATTCTTCCCAGTTTGGTATCATCAGCAAACTTGCTGAGGGAGCACTTCATCCCGTCATCTAGGTTGTTGATGAATAAATTGAACGGGACAGGGCCAAGGACTGATCCCCCTGGGGGACACAGCTAACCACAGGCCTCCAATTGGACTCAGCGCCACTGTTCCCCACCCTCTGAGCTCTGTCATCCAGCCAGTTCTCAATCCACATCACTGTCCACTTCCTCTATCCCAGACTTGCTCAGGAGGATGCCGGGAGGGACAGTCAAAAGCCTTTCTAAAATCCAGATAGACGACATCCACCTCTCTCCCTGCTTCTACCCAGCCAGTGACTCCATCATAGAAGGCTATGGTGAATCCATGCTGACTATTCCTGAGCACCTTCCTGTCCTCTAGGCTCTTGGAGACAGCAGCCAGGATGAGCTGTTCCATCACTTTTCCAGGGATGGAGGTGAGGCTGACTGGCCTGTAGTTGCCTGGGTCCTCCTTCTTGTCCCTTTTGAATACTGGCGTGACATTGGCTCCCTTCCAGTCCTCAGGCACTCCCAACTTCTCCAGAACCTTTCCAAGATGATGGAGAGCRGCTTAGCAAAAGATCATTTTCAAAAAAATCGTGCTTTCCGTGCTCCTGGCCAGTCTGTTACTACCATCCTATTTGTATAGGATGTGACATAATCTCTACACATACACACACAGATCATACACACATGATTTCTCATCCAGTAGTATGTAGCATGTATTGTCTCACTGAAGGGGAAGAGAACATGCCAACCCCAACATGGCAGCAAAGGAGGCACCAGTGGGGCAAGAGAGAGAGAGGAGAAGAAGAGGGAGAAGAAAATCCATTTAAACATAAGAAAAAAYTTCTCTAGCATGAGATKCTGGGACAGGCTGCCCAGAGGTGTCAKCATCTCGGTCCTCGGAGGTGACACGGGCCTGAGCTCTGTGTGACCCTGTGGTGAGCGGGCAGCTTGGGCTGCACCATCCCCGGGAGTCCCTGCCAGGACAACCTGGTGGGGATTCCTGGTTCTCTCAGCCGCCAGGCAGGGGAGTTTGGGTAGGGCTGGTGTGCGAGGCTGCTTCGTGCGAGGCTGGCACAGGCTGCGGTGCTCGGAGAAGGGATCTCAATGGCACCGGGGAGCTGGAATGCAGACGAGTGGCGAGTGGAGGGGAGGAGGAGAAATGTCCCTTAGGTCTGCGTTGCCTTAGGAACACAGGGGAAAACGTATCTCTCCATGTAAATGTAAATCTCTTAATGTAAAAGGATACCAGAAAAAGCAAAGGGGACAACTTTCTTGCTACATGACAGAACCGAGAACGTGGGCAGCAGTGAAGGCTGGGCCTTCGCCCAGAAAGACCTGAAATGTTGCCGGGATTTGCTGTCCTCTGCCTGCCATTTCTTTTCTCTCCCTTTCCCCTCTTAAGTGAACCAAGATGCATCTCTTGTAACRTCAAAAGCCTCCATATGTTGGTTGCTAGCTGAAAACAGAGTGTGTGTTTGTTTGTTTGTTTGTTTTTGTTTTCAAAAYGGAGATACTTTACCGGGTAGACTTCAAAGGCTCACCTGTTGGTTTTAAGACCTRCCAGAGTTAGGTAGGGCCAGCAATGTGGCCACACTGTTGCAGCCCTTCACCCACAGTCATAGCAGTCAAGAGCTCTCCTGATACTGGGGCTTCTTTTCAATATAATAATTAGAAATCGAGACGTGTATGAGTGTTAGCAGCCCTCAAGTTGATACAATTATACCTTTTACGGTTCATTTTTGAAACACTAAATGCTTGAGCCGAAGAAGCCCTGTGTCGGTGCTCTTAGGAAGTGACAGTGAGTGAGTGACAGCCCGGAAGCCTGACGGCTTCGCTCCACGCAGTAATAGCTGTAATTTGCTGCCTGAGCAAGAGACTTTGCAGGGTGTTTCGTGGCTTTCTTTTCCAGCATTTTCACCTGGAATTGATAACTGAAGGCATYTGCTAGGAGCAAGAACTATGCGGTCATGAAGTTCCTCAGCAGCCTTCCGAGTTCACAGTCTTTGTTACAGCCAAGCTGCAAACCAGGTATCTACTGAACTCTTGCAGCCCCGTGTTGAGGATGCCTTGGGGCCGGGACTTGTAATCCTGTGATTGACTGCGATACCTGCCATCAACAGACCAGTCGCAGAACTCGCGGGTCTGCTTGTGTCGGGGCCGGGGAAGAGGAGCGGGGCTGCTCGCCGGGACGCCGAGATTGGCACCGCGCAGCACGGGCAGGACGAGGCCGCTCGGAAAGGCCGGGACGAGGCGCGGGGCGGGATCCTCCCAGCAGGGAGACCCCGCGGGAAGGTCGCGGCTCCCCGCCCCGCCGCGGAGGCCCCGCGGCCGCGCAGGGCGGCTCCGCGCTCGCCCCGCGCCTCGGGGCGGCTCCGGGTTCGCCCGGAGGCTGCGCGGGGCCCCGCGGGGCTGCTCGGGGCAGACGCGGACCCGCCGCGCGCGCCGTGGCCGCGCGCGCCGCTGCCCCCCGGTTAAAGCGCCGCTCCCGCGCAGGGCGCTGCGCCTCGGCCGCGCACGAAACGCGGACCTCGCGCCGGGTCCAGCTCGGAGAGGCGCCGAGCGCGGGCGCGTTTCAGCAGCGGGAGCCGCCGTCGCTGCGGGCTCCGCTGCGCCCTGCGCGCACGGGGCTGGTGGCGGCGGCCGCCCGAAGGAAGCGTCTGGGAGCGGGATTACTGGAGAGCAACTGGCTCATCGGGATTCCTCGCCTAATCAGAGGTGTTACCTCCTCCTCTTCCCCCAGTGTCTCTTGACATCATTTCATCCATCAGAGTTTCAGAGAGAGGAGGAAAAAAAAAAAAAAAAAAGCAGAACCCACCCAGTCTGTGAGCAACCCACCCAGCCCCTGCGCGCTGCGCTTTGCCGGGAGCGC